TTGGGCCCTTACAAAGGGCTCCTCTCTAAGGGTAGCTGCGTGGGCCCGTGATAAAAGGGTTCTGATCTATGGGCCCTTGGGTTGTATCGGGTATATACGGGGTATATAAAGGGTCCCCTTTTCAGGGCCATATGAAAGGACCATGCAACTACCGTAAGATCCTCTCAAGGGTCCTGACAGGGAATAGGGCGGAATGAGGATTTAGGGTTTAGGGTTTAGGGTTTAGGGTTTAGGGTTTAGGGTTTAGGGTTTAGGTTTAGTTTCGCACACTTGCTTGTAAATAAGCGCTTTTGGAAGAGCCGTGAGATAGTTCAGGCGTACTTGAGGCTCCGACTTGGGATGTTCCCCCATGCACTAACAGTCCTTACTAGGGACTATATTAGGGGGTACTAGAATCCCCATTAAGGACTGTCCCTAAACCCTAAACCCTAAACCCGAAAACCTAAACCCTAAACCCTAAACCCTAAACCCTAAACCCTAAACCCTAAACCCTAAACCCCAAACCCTAAACTTGCAGTATAAGTGAGAGTATCGAATAGCTCCCTGCTTCGGCCCCTGAAAGCGTTCGAAGGGCTGAGGTCTGAGTCCGAATCAAACAACAATGCGGTTTGAAACCGAAACTGCGTGTTGAGTTTAGGGTTTAGGGTTTAGGGTTTAGGGTTTAGGGTTTAGGGTTTAGGGTTTAGGGTTTAGGGTTTAGGGTTTAGGGTTTAGGGTTTAGGGTTTAGGGTTTAGGGTTTAGGGTTTAATTACAGGAGGGTTTAGGGCAAACCCCCGCAAACTCCTCAACTCTTACCCTCAGGCTCAAAACCTTTTATGAGAAGGCCTTTGGGCCCAAAAAAAGCTTAAAATCAGAGTCCTTGGAGCCTTAGGGTGAACCTCTGGTGTCCCCCAGGATCGACTTCGACCCTAAACCCTAACCCCTAACCCCTAAACCCTAAACCCTAAACCCTAAACCCTAAACCTTAAACCCTAAACCCTAAACCCTAAACCCCCAGGATCGACTTTGAGCAGCTGGACCGTCCCCCCCATGACCCGCTCCTCTATCCTGCTATCCGCTGCTGCCGGTCCTTCATCTGCCCGAGCAGCGCAAAGGCTGCAGGGGCCGGGGAGTTTAGGGTTTAGGGTTTAGGGTCTAGGGTCTAGGGTTTAGGGTTTAGGGGGCAGGGGCGGATAAGGTTCTATGAGCACTCTTAGATCCCTAAGCTGAAGCCCTAAGCCCAACTGAGCCCGTTGTAGTTTCCTATATGTTTTAGCTTCGGGTTGTCCACCCGAAAGTCTGCGTCTTCGGGCTTGTCCCCCGGAACCGAAGGTCGAGCTCTTGGGCTATGCCATAACTCCTCAAGAACTCTGAGCTTTCTAAACAGGTTTGGTGTACTCAAAGAAAGGGTTCTCCGAGCTGTTCCTATTTAATATAATATAACCCTAAACCCAGAACCCTAAAGCCTATCTAATATATATATATATATATATTTATACATACATACATATATATATATATAGAGCGAGATTATGTATATATTGAAACAAGGAAATAGATGCCCGCTGCACCAGCTTGAAACCCTAAACTGCCCCAGACCACTAAACCTCATCAGCCTTCTATACATGATAGCCATCTGTGAATGGGGTTTCGGGTGTAAGGTTCAGAATTTAGGGATTAGAGTTTAGGGTTTACGGTTTAGGGTGTAAGGTTCAGAGTGTAGGAATTCATGGACGGCCTAAACTAGCCTATGTACCCTTGCAAAATGGGAAAGACACCATGAATTCGGCCAGTGTTCTGATTATCACGTGCCACCACCCTATAGTTCAGCCCTGTGAGCCCTATGAAGCATAAAAACCTTAATCCTTGCTGTGAACCCTAATGAACCGCAAAACCCGAAACCCTAGACCCTAAACCCTGAACCCTGAACCCTAAACCCTAAACCCTAAACCCTAAACCCTAAACCCTAACCCTAAACCCTAAACCCTAAACCCTAAACCCTAAACCCTACAAGGCGCTCAAGGTGGCGAACCGCCCTGGCCGGGCCAAATCGGTAGCAGCCGGTGTTGTCGGCCTGGTGAAGAGCGCGCGCAAGGCCACCGCCTAGGATGCCCAGCATGAAGTAATGTACGGGTTGTTTAGGGTTTAGGGTTTAGGGTTTAGGGTTTAAGGTTTAGGGTTTAGGGTTTAGGGTACCCTAAACCCCAAACCCCCCAAACTCCCAAAACTCCCATACTTCGCAGCAGGAGGGCGAGTCCTGGGATCAGGAGGTGGCCTCCGTGCAGACGCTGGGTTTTGGAGTATAGTACTTGAAGACTTTCTTTTTCTGGGCTCCTAATATAGCTACTTATACAGGGTTTAGGGTTTAGGGTTTAGGGTTTAGGGTTTAGGGTTTAGGTTTTTTTTGTAATTCCAGGGTCTACTCCGAAACAGAGGAAGAGCCTCGTGGAAGAGCCACTGCCCCTCGCGCTGGTGTTGGACTGCGTGCGCTCAACTCAGCCACATGAGCTGCCAAGTGTTACAGAGGTTTGGCCTTAGGGTTTAGGGTTTTTAGGGTTTTTAGGGTTTTTAGAGTTTTTAGAGTTTTTAGGGTTTAGGGCTTAGGGCTTATGGCTTACTTGGGGCTTAGGGCTTGGGGCTTGGGGCTTGGGGTTTGGGCTTGTGGCCTTAGGGCTGGCGGTTAGGGTTTAGCCAAACCCTAAGATTTGAACCTCGGAGCAAAAGCGAGTTGCGCTGAAACCTAAACCCTAAACCCTAAACCCTACACCCTAAACCCTAAACCCTAAACCCTAAACGGGCTTGAGTTTAGGATTGTGTCAGGTTTGTCGTTTGTCTTGCCTGCTGGGCTGGGTTTAGGGTCGAGGGTTCAGGGTTTAGGGATCAGGGTTGAAATGTGGTTTAGGGTTTAAGTCGGGTTTAGGGTTTAGGGTTTAAGGTTTAGGGTTTAGGGCTTAGGGTTTAGGGTTTAGGGTTTAGGGTTTCGGGTTTCGGGTTTAGGGTTACTGTGCTTTTCTGTAGGGCTTAGGGCAGTTGAGGGTTGAAGGTTTAGGGGGCATCCCAGGCTCCTTGCTTTCATTTCCCTCATGAGGGTTTAGGGTTTAGGGTTTAGGGTTTAGGGTTTAGGGTTTCGGGTTTAGGGTTTAGGGTTTACGGTTTAGGGTTTAGGGTTCAGGGTTGAGTTCTTAAGGGAGGGGGTGGGGGTAGATACCCAGGGAACCTTCGGGAATTTCCCTCATGAGGGTTTAGGGTTTCGGGTTTAGGGTTTAGGCTTTAGGGTTGAGTTCTTAAGGGAGGGGGTGGGGGTAGATACCCAGGGAACCTTCGGGAAGCTTAGGGAGCCTTAGGGTTTAGGGTTTAGGGTTTAGGTTTTATGTTCTAGGGTCTGGTACATCGGCTTTCATGAACTCGTTGTACCCCTAAGGGGTTCCCTTAATATACTCCTTTTATGGCCCTTATATTCCCTGAGAGGATCCTTAAAGAAGGGTCCCCAAACCCCATGATTTCCGGAATGCCGCGGTTTCGGTTCAGGGCGTCGGGTTCAGGATTTAGGGTTCAGGGTAAGGTCTGACAAGGCTTCGTGGGGGTTGGATGGATTTAGTATACTGAAGACTATATTAATTCTACCATATCAAAGAATAAGTGTATGATGTATAACGCATATCGTCAGCTCGGGATCCTGCAAACTAGTTTGATGCGTGTCGCGAAGTGCAAAAAGATTCTACAGACCATGAGCACGCCCGGGCAAAATCTGGCATGACTGCGAGCGTGCCACCACCGCCTTTTTGCCAGTGAACCAGGATGGGCTATTAGGGTTTAGGGTTTAGGGTTTAGGGTTTAGGGTTTAGGGTTTAGGCCCTACATCCCCACAATCAACCCTTTGAAGGGCCACTTTAAGGGGTTCTAGGTAGAAGTAGCCCATGCTGGAAGTCTGCTATACTGCCAGTGTGGCGGAACCCTCGCGTGACTCGCCTGGCCGCGTTCGTTTCTGCACGATGGCGTTGAAGCACTACTCCGATCTCCCGGGCACACGTCAGGGCATGCCGTCAGAAGTTCTTCTCAAGACGCTAAGCCCCAAAGCGGAAACCACCAGCCCGAAAAGGACCCTAGCTTAGAGAATACATAAGAACTGCCAGCTCGCAGAGCCATGCTTCAGGGAATTTCTCCCTACTCGAAAAGGGACCCTAAATCTACAGTTTAAGGTTTAAGGTTGAAAGAGTTTTGCCCAAAACCCGAAACCCTCAACCCTCTGGGGTTGGCGTGCCAAACCCTAAACCCTAAACCCCGAACCCTAATCTGTATCGAGTCCGTGGCCTGAAGCGGCCATGCTGTTTCTCTAGACCCTGAGTCCTAAGCCCGCAAGCCCGTAGGGTTTAGGGTATCCTAGGCCCCGCAAACTGCTGGCCCCAAAAAACATCCAAAAGGCCACAAGCCCTACATCACAATTCCACACCCCAACAACCGAACCCTAAAACCCTCACCAGCCCCTAGAGCTCACTACGTTGCTACCCTAAACAAAACCCGAAAACAATACACCCCCTTCCCCCCTATAACAGCACTGAGCCTTGTCAGCGCTCAGGAATGTAACGTCCTTGCTGGAGACGTGCGCCATGACCGGTGTGTCCGAGGTGGTGTTCTGCGGCATCACCCCAGCGCCCCCAATGCTCCCCAGCACCGCAGATCTGGGCTACGGGTTTAGGGTTAGGGTTTTGGGTTTAAAGTTTAGGGTTTTGGGTTTAGGGTATGGGAAGTTGTAAGGGTTACACGTACCCAGTTAGAACTTCTACTTGTAACCTCCAAGCAGGGTGTAGTGCTTAGCCCGATTGCTCCGAAATCCTTTCAAGTCCTACTCCTCAGCCTTAAATCCCAACCCAAAAAACTCCTAAACTTCATATGCCCCAAAAACAAACGCCAAACCCTAGCCCTTAGGATCCAAGACCCGAAAAACCTGGCATGATAAGGCCTTTGGGCCCAACAACCTTAACGTAAGAGTCCTTGCAGGTTTAGGTAGTCGCTGAGTGACATGGAGCCGTCCAGGTATTCTATCCTGCGTAGGGCCCGCGCTGCAGCGGCCCAGGCGCCCCTCTCCCATGAAGCACGGTTCATATTACTGTTCTTGGTGGGAGTATGTAAGCTTCCTTCTTGTTTTTGGTGGAGTGTATGTATTGGGTGTCCTGTCCTTTTGGGGATACAAGGAAGATAAACCCTACTTCACGTGGTGAGAGTTTATGCAGGGTTTACCAGCTTCAGGGTTTAGGGTTTAGGGTTTAGGGTTTAGGGTTTAGTGTGATTAGAAAATTTAGACTATTAGCAGTTTGAGGCTCTAGGGCTTGTATTTCACCTAAGGGCTCCAAGGATGCAGCATTTGAAAGGGTTTAGGGTTTAGGGTTTAGGGTTTAGGGTTTAGGGTGTACGTACCTCAGAGGGGGCTGCTGGCTGAAGTTCCTGGACGTTTCGGGTTTTGTTTGACCCCTCTACCTTGCAACCGTATACCCTTCAGCACCCTTATAGACCCAAGCCCTTTAACCCTTGAGTCCTAAGGTCTCAACCCTAAACCCTAAACCCTAAACCCTGGTTCACCATGCACACAGGGGCTGTGGGGCTATAGGAAGGAGTGTTTAGGCTTCTGGGTTTGGGGATGATCTGTGTTCACCTCAAACCCCAACCGTAACCCTGGAATCCTTGGGTTAAGGGTTTAGGGTTTGAGGTTTGGGTTAAGGGCGGGCTTATAAGCACAGTTGTAATTTGGTTAGAGTCCCCCCCCCCCCCCCCCCGGGTCCCCTCCCCACCCCCTCCCTCCCCCCCCGGCCCGCCCCCACCCCCCAAAAAAACCCTAAACCCTAAATCCTAGAAACCCTAATCCCCAATCCCTAAACCCTGAAACCTAAACCCTAAACCCTAGAAACTTAGAAACCCTAATCCCCTAATCCCTAAGCCAAGCCCCCTAGCAGGTACCCGCCAGCTCTGCTGTCTCTGCCAAAGATGCGGTATCCCGGCTCCAGGCGCGGGCAGACCTTGAGGTTTTGGGGTTTAGGGTTTTAGGGTTTAGGGTTTTAGGGTTAGGGTTTTAGGGTTGGGGGCTTATAAGGTTTGGGGCTTAGGGCTTAGGGCTTAGGTTTTACAGGGTGGGGCCCCCTAGTTATAAGTAGAGTTTTAAGGGCCCTAAATTGGGTTATAAGGACCCTAAGTTAGGTTATAAGTCCCTGAACTACAGTTAGTATAGTAAGGGGGCCCCACCCTGTAGGGTTTAGGGTTTAGTTTTGGCTTTAGGGGCTTCGCGTGCAGCGTTAGTCAACCTCACGCCTTCTAAACCCTAAACTTTGCCCCGCCACAAAAGCAGCAGGAACATGAGTATTTTGCAAGGCTATAAATATGAAGGTTAAACAACAAGCAAGCTCATTCACAAACTCGAAGAAGCATAAATTCACAATAGCCCTAAACCCTATAAACCCTATAAACCCTACAAACCCTATAAACCCTATAAATCCTAGAAACCCTAAACCCTAAACCCCGATCTCAAGGCCTCCGGCTTCTGTGTCTGGGCCCTGGAGACCACGTCGGGGGCGCGGCCCCTGCAGACGATGCAGCTACCATCCCGGCCCCTAGCACTGTCCCTCAGACTTACAGGAGCGGTTTAGGGTTTAGGGTTCAGGGTTTAGGGTTTAGGGTTTAGGGTTTAGGGTTTAGGGCTAGGGTTTTATAGGGTTCCAAAGCGGTCTTCTTGGGAGCCCAGTGGTACCCTTCACCCTCTTTTTGTAATATGGTTGCTTAGTCTTATGTTGTGGGGGTTTTAGGGCTTGGGCCTGAGAGTTTGTTTGGGGTCCAGGCTGTAGAGTGTGTTTGCGGTTTAGGGTTGAGAGTTTGTTTGGGGTTTGGGGCTTGCGGGGTTCAGGCCTTATATGCTGCAGGGTGTTAGATAGGCCACAGGGTTCAGAGGGCTTTCAGGGTTTAGGTTTTGAAGGTTCAGGGCGTATATACATTTTGGGGTTGAAGGTTATGGGTTCCATAGTTCGGGGGTTTCGCTACATTGCGAACTAGATCTGATTTGATGGTCTACATCGTTCGGAGCTCTAAGAGTGGATGTCAGGGGGACCCCTAAGCCCTAAACCCTAACCCGAAACTCCAACCTCGTCTAGCATAACCTTTCAGTGCTTTGGGTGGGTTTGTGTTTCTAGCGTCTTCGGGGTTTCTAGGGTTTGTATGGTTCATGGGGAGTTTAGGAAGGGTTTATGGGGTTGATAGGGTTGATAGGGTTTATGGGGCTTATAGGATTTAATCGCCTGCACGTGAGGTGTGTGCGTACACTTGTTAGGGTTTCCAGTTGAGGGTGCATGCGGCGCTGAGGATTGTAGGCAACGAGAAGTACGGCGTGTCCGTCGATGCTTTGGATGCTTCTCTGAACCTCTCAACCCTATCTTCGGGTTGCGAGCTGGAAGCCCTATAAACCCCAAACCCTAAACCCAAAAGTTTGCCCTAAACCAGCAATCCCCTGCACTCTGAATCACGAACCCTAAGCTAACCCTTTAAACCCAACTTCTAAACTTTAGCCTGTATAGTCTCTGACGCACCCCCTACTTAAATCGGGGGGGGGGGGGGGGGGGGGGAGGCGTATATATAGGATACCGCACAGGGTACTTGAACCCTAGAGCCTGAACCCTAAACCCCAAACCCTAAACCCTAAACCCTAAACCCTAAACCCTAAACCCTGAACCCTGAACCCTAAACCGCAAGGAGTGCTGTGACCAGCATGTGTGCATCACCACCGTGGGAATCAAGCCTGGCCCTCTGTTCGTGGGAGGGTTTGGGGTTTAGGGTTTACGGTTTAGGGACTTCGGGTTTTAGGGTTTTCGGGTTGTTTAGGGTTTAGGGTTTAGGGTTTAGGGTTTAGGGTTTAGGGTTTGGGCCTCGACTTCCCCGCACATGAGCTGCAATGCCCGCCTTACAGTTTAAACTGCCGCCCAGCCCCCTATCACTGGAGAGCAAAGGTCTAAATCCCTAAACCCTAAAGCCCTCAAACCCTAAACCCTGAACCCAAAAACCTAAACCCTAAACCCTGAGCCCTTCTGGTGCAGAGCCTCCTCTGTGTGTGCGTGGGTGTCTAGGGTTAAGGGTTTAGGGCTTTGAGTGTAGGATTTATCAATATTGAGAAGTACATCTATCAGCGTCGATAGGAATACATCTGTAAATATCATGTTGTCTATATATATATATATGTATCTTTTCACACATATATATGTTTATGTGCATGCACATGAATGTAAATTTCACGTTAAAATTCAATGTCAATATGACACACACACACACATATATATATATATATTCTGCAGGGGGTTTGGGAAAGGATGAAGTAGCGGGCAGCTCAGGAACTCCCTCAACGTGGCCGTTGCAGGCAGCACCTAGCATCCAAATGGAGTAAAGGCATTTGGGATCTCAGGGTTTAGGGTTAAGGGTTTATGGTTTAGCGTTTCGGGTCATCACTTGTGAACCCTAAATTCCGACTCTCCAAACCCCCAAACCCTGAACTTTGAACTCGGGGTTTATAGGATGTAAGGTTGAGGGGCTTCGAAATTTGGGAAATCTTTTTTCTTTCTTGCATGTGCCATCACGACCCGAAACTTCCCCACGCCATTGAGCCGTAGCACAAGTGTCTCGCACCTCGCTCGTTCCGTTCCTGATGCCTCATTCTTCTTCACTTCACGGGCCTCTTGCGTAGTCAAGTCCGACGAGTCCAACTTGATGCCTCATGCGTAAATACCGTCTGTGGTCTTCCTAGTAGCAGAGTAGGTAGCCTTTACCCTTTTTAGGGTAGTTAATCCCAAAGGGTAACTTGAACCCCCCCTCCCCCCCAGGTTACTGGACAACTAAGTCTTAGTTGCGTCCTTGAGCCCCTCGCGCAGCAACGGCTAGGTGTTTCGGCTGTCAAGTCGCGTCGCAGGTTTCTACTTATTCAGCCCGTGTGATTCACAGTCCGATCAGCTTTGCTTGAGGTATAGCCGTGTTCGAGGTTGCACCCTGGCGGAAATCAACGGGAAGTATGTCGGTCCTTCCATAGTGTCGGCTCTTCCATAGTAGCACACCCGAGTTCGAAAAGAAGGTTCCCCCCCCCTGCTCAGGATTGCTAATTCTGAGCTTAAGCCACAAGCACCTACTACGCAGCTTAACAACAGCCCCGAAAGGATGTAATTGTTGGGTATCTAGCTGGCGTAATCTAGTCTAAAGGTACTGTTTGTTTGTGGATGCCGCCCGTGGTTCCTGCTGAGCTCCCGTTTGATCAAGGCCCGCCGGCTAGCCGCGGCGAGCGGCAGGGTGGCGACGGACACGCCCTTGCCTGGGAAAGCTTCATAAGCTTTAAGCATGACGTGACCCGCCACGTCTCAGCTGCCGAGCAGTGCACAAGATGGATGGGAGCCAACATGAGATTGGGTCTGCAAACCCGTGGGCAAATTCGTCGTCCGCGATGGCGACAAGGGCAACAGCGGCAGGGAGTTAGTTGGAGGAGCCCTCCTCGCTGACGAAGCCTGCTGGACGGCTTCGCAACGTCACCTATCCCTTTGGACTACAGGCTGGACGGACGAAGTCAGGCGGCTCACGCCGGCCTGGGTCATCAAGCGCCTCCATATGCGAGCTAAGTTGAAGAAAAAGGCATCTCCACGCCCTATGGAAAAAAGAACGTAGCTGCCGAGTAGCTAGCTTTTGGTCTTGCTAAAGATTCCCCCATTAAAGCCCCCCAAAATAGCCTTTCCCATGCACCCCTCCGCCAGCGAAGCAAAGCACTTCTCGACTGGCCAACTTTTTTAGAGCCGTCTGATCTTGCTGATCTTAGATGTCCAAAACGCTCTCTGAGCTTTAGGGCCTAGGTAGGCTCTTGGGGCATTTTACATTTTCTCTTATATTCTTGGTAGCCCAGTGGTACCCTTTACCCTTTTTTTGGTTATGGGTTCCCAGCTAAAGTAACCAACCCAAAGAAAGGTGCCCTCATTATAATATGGTTACTGGGCTACTTTGTTTTAAGCCTGCGATCTTAGGAGATCCCATTCTTCTGGATCAACTCTATTCTAAGCTCGTCGGGGTTCCCAAAAGCACTAAACCCTAAACCGAACCCTAAACCCTAAACTGGCCCTAAACCCTGGGGTAAAGCGAGAGCACTCTTCGCCGCCATCCTCTTCTCAGGCAGTAGCACAGACATGCACAGAGGTCCCATGAGGGTTCAGGGTTTAGGGTTTCGGGTCTCGTTTCAACCCTGAACCCTGGTTCGACAGATTGCTCAAGACTGGTCCATTCACAGCAGCGCAAGGAATCCGAACTCCACCCAAAGGGACTAGCCCAGTAACTCCTGCAACCCGAAGCCCCAACCCCCCCGCCCCCCCAAACAAAAAAAACAAACAAACACCGAATCCATTTTTCCCTAAGCCCTAAGCCTTCAGCCCCAAACCCCAAACCCCAAACCCCAAACCCCAAACCCCAAACCCCAAACCCCAAACCCCAAACCCCAAACCCCAAACCCTAAACCCTAAACCCTAAACCCCAAACCAATATGAAAGTCCGTACTTAGCCCTTAGTCTCGGCAGCCCCACGTCTGACCGATGCTTGCCAGACACGCGCCCCTGCGCGCCGGACCGACTTAGGGTTTAGGGTTTAGGGTTTAGGGTTTAGGGTGTAGGGTGTAGGGTTTAGGGTTTAGGGTTTAGGGTTTAGGGGTTAGGGTTGTTTAGGGTTCAGGGTTCAGGGTTCAGGGTTCAGGGATTGGGGTTAAGGTATGGTTTAGGGTTTAGGGTCTTTAGGCTCTTTAGGGCTTCTTGGGGGTTGTGAGGGAACTATGTGGGCTTCTAAGGGGTGATACGGTAAGGAAAATCTATAGCGTGATTTTGGGAACAGGTATTCTTGATCAGCTACCATATCCCGGGTTGAGGGTGTGAAGGGCTGAGGCATGAGGGTATTGTTGGAGAGCTTCCTAAACCCTGTACCCTGAAACCTTTCTGCATATCTGGATTTGGGCCTCCCAAATACAGAAGAATCCCTAAGCCCTAAACCCCAAACCACCAAATAGTAGTTCCTTGTAATACGTTGGAATCCAGGCGATTCAGCTTGCACCCTCAAGAAGTCCCATGGTGCACGTACTTGCCGACCCTGACTTAGGGCCGGGGCCCCTAGTATGGACCCCCAAATAGCAGAATACCCTAAACCCTAAACCCTAAACCCTAAACCCTAAACCCTAAACCCTAAACCCTAAACGGATTCCCTCATCATAAGGACCCCAATAATTTTGCTGCAATGTGTGTCTGAGGCCGCGACCTGTCGACAAGTAACAATGAGTAGCCGCTTCAGGCTGCTTGTGAATGCCCCTAATTTCGGAAACCCCCCATATGTTCTCGGGTTTTTCGCAACGACGCAGCTGTTTAGTGTTTAGGGGGGGGGGGGGGGGGGAGTTCCTGCTTTGGCTTGAACTTGCTGACAGCAGCCCCGCCCCAAACCCTAGCCCTATTTCCTAAACCCTAAACCCCAAACCCTTGCACAACCCCAAATCCCTGAACCGTGAACCCTACCGCTAAAGAACCCCAACACTCCTGGAAGGACCTGTACATAGATGCCCCGCCCCCCTCCCCCCAAAAAAAAACTATAAACCCTGGAACCCTGAACCCTAGTTGCTAAACACTCCCCGCGCTCCTGGAAGGACCTGTACATCGATACTTCAAACTCAAAACCCCAAACAGGGTTTACCCTAAACCCTGAACCCTGAAGCACTCCTGGAAGGACCTGTACATAGATACCTCCTTCGTCAATTTGAATGTCGGAGAGTCCATGCCGGTGTTCACATACCGCAGCAGCGCTGCTCGGTGGTGGTTCAGAGCAGCGGTTGTGTTTAGGGTTTAGGGTTTAGGGCTAGGGTTTAGGGTTTAGGGTTTAGGGTTTAGGGTTTAGGGTTTAGGGTTTAGGGTTTAGGGTTCAGGGTTTAGGGTTCAGGGTTTAGGGTTTAGGCTTTAGGGTTTGGTTTAGGGTAAGCCCCGACAATGAAAGACCAACACTCTGAGCCTTCGGGGAATGCCGGCTTCCGGCATTCAAACCCTAAACCCTAAACCCTAAACCCTAAACCCCAAACCCTAAACCCTAAGCCAACTGGAATCTACAGCTCGACAGTTGCTCCGGCTCCTGTACTAGGGCTAAGGGTGTTTAGAGTCTAGGGTTCAGTATAGGGCTTAGGGCTCAGGGCTTATGGGACCCACAGTAGGCGTTTTTCTCACTTTTGTTAGGGTTAAGTTTTTTTTTAGAACTTATAACCCCCTCTTTATTCCTAGGTTACTCCTGGGTCTAGTGTAGGCACGCGCCAGCCAAGGACTTAATGAGTTTCTTTGGTCCGACGTATGCGCCTCGGCAGGCAACATTTCTGGATCGAGGCTTGTCGTTCCTTCCAGCACCTCCCAACTACCTTCCAGCACCTCCCAACTACTCTCTAGGGCCTCAGGGCCCACAACTTAGAGCCACGTATGTGCACCTGTCAAGGGTAGTTGTGGGATCCACACTTCTGCACCCTAAACCCTGAACCGTATCGACCCGATTTTCCTAAACCCTAAACCCTAAACCCTGAGCCCTAAACCCTAAACCCTAAACCCTAAACCCTAAACCCTAAACCCTAAACCCTAAACCCCAAGACCAGGCTACCTCGCAGACCAGGGGGCAACTCCACTGTCTTTGTGCCAAGTCCTTGCGGCCACGCCGCGGCACGTCCGAAGATGTGGGTGTTGGGGTTTCGGAATTTTCGGGGGTCTAGGGTCTAGGGTTTAGGGTTTGGGGTTTAGGGTTTAGGGTTTGGGGTTTAGGGTTTAGGGTTAGTTTAAACTAAGTTTTTGGCTTTACGGTTCAGGGTTTGGGGTCTGTTTAGTTTAATTCCAGGGACTTTTGGGGTTTGGGATTTAGAGGGCTTCAGGTCCCAAGCCGTGCCCTGCACGTCAACAAGTAAAGCAGGTCCAGAGTCCAAGGCGTGAGGGTTTAGGGTTTAGGGTTTAGGGTTTAGGGTTTAGGGTTTAGGGTTTAGGGTTTAGGGTTTAGGGTTTAGGGTTTAGGGTTTAGGGTTTAGGGTTTAGGGTTTAGGGTTTAGGGTTTAGGGAAAATATATACCTGGGACCCTCTTTACCTACAGCTTCATGGGTTCCTACCACTAATTCAGGGGAGTTACTTCTAAGCTGTAGGTAGATAGAGTCCCAGGTAGGGTTTGGGTCCCGAGAACGATTTGACCGAAACGTGATGACGGATGTTTTTCGTTTTGTAATTTCAAGTTCCCCATGGGGCCTCCTCCTCCTCCTCCTTATTGGGGCTTCCCGAAGTTTAGGGTTTAGGGTTTAGGGTTTAGGGTTTAGGGTTTAGGGTTTAGGGTTTAGGGTTTAGGGGCTTAGGGGCTTCCCGGGTTGTTGCTGAGGCGGATCTTTATGATGTGCCGAGTTTTTTAGACAAATATCTTTGCAAGTTCAGAATGACATGCTGTCAAGGAAGAGGTTTAAGTATCTTGACTTCTCGCCGTTAGGGATGTGTTGGATCAATTTTCTTCAGCTCGGTTGTCATTTTACAGCTTCTTGGGGGACACACTTGGTTTCGGTGCTAGCTTGTTTGGACATTTTCATCTACAACCCAGGCGAATATCAAACACCCTAAACCCTAAACCCTAAACCCTAGACCCTAAACCCTAAACCCTAAACCCTAAACCCTAAACCCTTTTCAATTCTTCTAAGGGAAGTAAGACAGCCTCAAAAGCCCTAAGCCCTAAACCCCAAAACCACGGAAGCTGGATCATGAGCCTAAGACCCCAGGTTTAGGGTTTGGGGTTTGGGGTTTAGGGTTTAGGGTTTAGGGTTTAGGGTTTAGGGTTTATAAGGTTTAGGGTTTAGGGTTTAGGGTTTAGGGTTTAGGGTTTAGGGCTCAGGGCTTAGGGCTTAGGGCTTAGGGCTTAGGGCGAAAGCCGAAACGCTAAACCCTCATCTTTTCAGGAGACAGGTGGCCGAGCTGGCGAACCGGGAGCCCTTTGCGCACGTTCGACGGCTTCGGCTTTTAGGGCTGTTGGGGTTTAGGGTTTAGGGTTGGGGTTTAAGGTTTAGGGTTTGGGGTTTAGGGTTCGGGGTTTAGGGTTTGGGGTTCGGGTTTAGGGTTCAGGGGCTGGGGTTCCGGGCTAGCATGCTTAGGGGCCTTACCTCTACTAGAGAGCAGGTAGGGGCTGGTTGTTCAAGGTTCTGCTCTCAACCCCTAAACCCCTAAACCCCTAAACCCCTAAACCCCTAAACCCCTAAACCTCTAAACCCCTAAACCCCTAAACCCCTAAAACCCCTAAACCCCTAAACCCCGAAACCGTAAACCCGAAA